GGAAAATCCCTGGATCTCAGCCGGAGAAATTTTCTCTACGGATAGGTGGGCAGATATTTTGACGAAGTGATCCCCGAAGATCGGCCGGTTCTAGCCGGAGACAATCGAGGGTGAGTAACTCAGTGAATGAAATCGCGCTCACTGCCTTAATGCGTCGGCTGGTTCTTGATATGCCAAACACGACATTCTACTTAGCACCGTCAAAGCGGGGAAGCCTCTCGTAAGCGAAGCATCGCTCCTGAAGTAGCACCTATAACCCATCTTCCCCGTTCCTGCGCTCTCCCGCCGGGGAGAGATGACTCCCACGGGATAAGACAGGAGGGCCGCCCTTCTTCCTAAATTCTTCCTTCCGCGGTCTCGACGCCAAATTGATAGATCGCCCGGTGACCCGCCGTGATCTCGCGCGGCTGTCGGCTAGGAGATACGTCACCTGGGATTTTGATGGATCTGACCGCGATTTTATCACGCGCAAGGACAAACTGCGTAATAAAAGATAAAAATAAACGATATTTGTGCACGCGCTCGCATGTCCGCGCGCTACATCGAGCCCGGGATTTCCGTGTCCCCGAAAGATAGGAGGGATTTTATCACGCTGAGCGTTTTTCGCGGAGCGTCACGTAAATAAAACCGGGGGAACGAACGTTGTGTGTGTGATAATGTAATAAGTGCCGCCCGCGATTATATTTTCAAGCCCAAGATTATATTTCTCGCGGGGATCCTAATTTTAACGCGCAGCTGCGCGCGAAAGAAATTCCGTTCCAAGTGTTTTATCAGAGCGAGGAGTGAGGAAGGGATGTTTAATGTCGAGGATTCCGCTGACGCGGGAGACGTTGCGTTCCGCACATCTACGCGCATATATAGTTCGCGCGGTGATGTCGAAGCAAGAAGAATGGCAAGATTTTCGAACAAACGGCTAAGAATACGCACACTCTCGTTGCCGTTGCCATTGATTTTTCCTTGGACACGTGGCGCATGAAATAGCTCGATCGTGAATACCGCATCGACTTGAGACGCGAACACATAGGAGAGACCGAGGTTTATTGTCGCATTTCTTACATATTGATTAGAGGAAAGGGATATTTCCTAATATTTATAATATCAATATTTCGTAATATCACATACATTTTAATATAATTACGTATCCTTTAGCTTTCGGGAGAAAAATATTAGTCTCATATATATTTATACGCAAAAAAAGTTTACATTCACTTGAATTAACCACCTTTACTCCGTGTAAACGCGCCGGGAAAATAGTACTCGAACATTTATTTCTGGGGACGCGAGGTTCACTTTACAGAAAGTTTCGTGTGAAATAAACCTTACGTCCGGCGAGTAAATCTTCAAGTGCTTTTTTCTCCAGTGTAACCACATGCGATGCGTCAGCCACGAGCCCGTTTCACATACTCGACCGACGCGACAGCGAGCTACACTATAGGAAAGAATATACCCCGTTATTTATTGAGTGAGATACAAGCATCGTGACAAGCGACCCACCGCGCCTTCCAACCCCCCTCCCCCGTATGTGGGCGAACGCTCTCGCGAAACGAGCCGCGCGTTAGCGCGGCGCAATTACGCGTCCGCCTCCCCCGTAGCTTCCGTGAACTTTTCGCCGGGCCGAAGTTCAACGCGCGTCGTCGAAACGAAGATCCGGGGATGCCGTGAAAATGGAATCCACGGTTTGCCGGGGGTTGCGCGGGTCGCCGCTGTAAGCTCTCGGGCTGCGGCCGCAATCTCGCCGGCGTAATGCAGCGCTGCCACAACGCCGCGCAACCTGATTATGTCCATTTGTTGCCCACTCGAAACCCCGGGGCGATATCGCGGAACTTAATCCACCTGAGTTAGTTGCGCGTGTTCCTCGCGGGATCGGCTAAGATTTATCTTCTTGAAATATTTTCTCCCGGCTTTCCAACACTATCGAGTTTCAAGACTAACGCGCGCGCTCTGCGAGAGGGTGAGAGAGAGAGAGAGAGAGAGAGAAACGCTGGTCTTTCTCGGCACGCTCTTGCCTCCTTCCTCCCTCCCTCTCTCTTCCTCTCGAATGCAAGGTATATCCGCGCGAGGCTCGTTCTCGTTTTACGTGTGCGGCATTCCCGCGAGTATAGCCCGGATAGCGACTGATAAAGCGACGTATAAATATCCCCGACGACTTTGCATCCCTGGTATTTCGCGTTTACACGGCAGGTAATAGAGTTCCGTGTCCATCGGAAGCTCGTGATTTTCCGGCCGGCAGCGCGCGTCATCCATTCCGAGCGAGCGATTTAATTGGCTGGAACCGAGAACTACATCGTGGCGTTCGTAATATTGAAGTTTCCGTTGGAGAGAGAGAGAGAGAGGGAGAGGGAGAAGTCGTTCGCACGGTTTTCACGACGAGCCAGGTCCTCGATGTGAGAACGCGCGCGCCTGCGTTCACTGCGTGGCTATTCGGAGATTCCAGTGCGCAAATATACGTCTGTAATGTAACGAAGGGCACTTTTCGCCTTTCCTCCGCACCCCGGGTGAGAGAAAGCGCGGTGAAAATTGAAGTCACACGCGTGACACGCCTGTATTACGTAACGACACGCGCGATGAGCGCGACAGGGACACCTTAAAGCGCGAGCGGCAACGCGTTTGCTCGGTCAGACACGATTCTCCACTTTAGCCGGGCTTAAACGGGGTCTGATGATAAAACGGAATACAGTGGGATTAATTCGATTTCGCGGATGCCTCGCCTTAATACACGGCGACTGTCATTATCAGTTTCTCCGCTGGATGTTAGTCTTTCCGTCCGTAAGACCCGACGCGCGCGCCGAGTGGAAAGTTACTTAATCTTCTTACTACGCTTACCCCCTCGACTCCGCTCGGTGCCGCCTTAAACTTCGACTACTAGCATTTCAATGTACGTGTATTCACGAAACGCTAAGCTGTCGCTAAACCGTATCACGAGCGTTCGTGCGTCTCGTCTCGACGCCTCGCTCGCGAGACGAATGCAGATCGCAACACCGTCCCTCATTTACGAATTACAAGCCCCCCGGTTTCACTTTCGTTATGAGTCCTCGATGAACTGACAAATGCCGTGTGCTTGCACGCACATCGCGCTCGATCTGCTCCGTTGTCGGACGGACGGACGCTTTCGTCCTTGATATTTCTTAAAAGGGGGGAGAGACGTCGCCGGGAAACGGGATAATACACTTACCCGGCGTTCACGTGAGGTGATTTAATATTCAATGTACTCCGAGGATGAATATAGAAATGCGCGTCGATCGAGAAATTGAATGTCGTGTTACGGGAGAGCTTTGATCGTCAAAGAGCCGGAGACACAAAAGCAGTAGTAGAACCGTCGACAAAGTCAGACCGTCTTTCCTGTTCGTTGATACGGGCAGAAGTTTCCTGACTCCACACGGTGCAATCTTTGCTACGTAAGAACGTCCGTGACAGCGACGCATAAAAGAGCGAGAACACTTCCCGATAGGAACTGAAAGAATAAAAGAAGCGGAAGAATGCGTTGACAATTTTTTAACACGTCGGAGATAACAGCCGTGATTATTTGAAAATAATCCGTCCGTTGTAAATTGAAGGCGAAACACCCGTAGACTCTGGGAGAGCAACGACGAAGAAAAGCGTTGTAACGCGAGCGTTACAACGATTCACGAGGAGACGAAATGTCTTAGGATTTTTCCGCAACATTAATCCTTCCCGACGGACGTACGCATTTCCGCTCGCAGCGTGTTCTCCGCGTCGTACGGATTCGTAAGACACTTTGCTGCTTTTCTCCCTCTCTCCTCGCTTCTTCCTCATATTTCCTCCCTTTTACCGCGTTTCCTGCGCTTCCTTCCCCGCCTAGTGTACAGCAGGATCTGAATATTTCGCTTCTTTAAAGGGATCTCATCGCGGAGCAACCGCGCTCTCGCGCGCGGTTGCGCCGTCGCACGACGACGTCGGATATGACGATAGGTATCTGACAGAGCTTGTTCGCGATATCGAATTGCGTAGTCATACGTGAAGGCAGACGGATGACGCATCCGATCGCCCGAGGAAATTCAGATCCTTGTGTATCTATCCGAGGTACGAGATTTTTCGGCGGGCGGATACGCGAATACGCGCGCACGTGTGAGCGCGCCCGAGAGGAATTTTACAGATCATGATCCGCCGCGGAAAAGATGGCGGAAGATAGGTAGATAGATAGAGAGACGCACACAGAAAGAGAGAGAGAGAGAGAGAGAGGGAAGGGGATGCGTCGAGAACTGGAGAGCGAGTACCTGGCATCGACGGATCCGTATTATAAATCTGTCTGCACGATCCGCGCGGTTATTTCTTGGTGGATGTCCCCGAGATACGATTCCGCCGTATGGGAAATACGCCGGTAATAATCGTCGCATTAAACCTCCCCTCTGGCATGCTGATTTCACACGTTTGACATCGATATTCCGCAGCTGGAGCTTGCGATAGACATTCTTCTCTCTCTCTCTCTCTCTCTCTCTCTCTCTCTCTCTCTCTCTTTCGCCATATCTCGTTTCAAATTATTAATTTATATTTATAAGAGTAACGCGCGTGTGTGCGTGCGCGCTTATGAATTAGGGTGTATATCATCGTGATAGAGGAAGAACCGATATACTATTGACAAAAATATTAGGTAAGATTCGAGTTTGTCATGAACAATCTCGCAAATTAGAATCGACCGAATAAGAGTGAGGGAAGATTTTTCGGGGGAACGTCGCGGGGAAAATTGCGACCGTTGTAGACGACGACGATCGGCGAGTACGCGATTTTCGCGAATGCGACGGGCGAGATTATACCGTCTCCGAAGTTTTTATAAAAACGCATCCGGCGGACCGCGATACTTCATGTAAAGAAGACGCGACGGTGGTCAACGTCCTCAACTTATAACGAAGGGCTGCACGTGCCGTAGTTCGCGATCGGTCGATTCATCGGGGGCTAGCAGGAGGGAAACTTTGCCGGCGGCGGTGGTACAGCTTTTTCATAATTGATCGTCCAATCGATACGCTCCGCTATTCTGCTTTCAGGACTCGAGGCCGAGTTGTACTACGTGCGAGAGGGGGTGGTCAACACTTACGCGATGAATTTCGTCGTTCCTGTGCCGGCCAACATAGCGGACCTAGAATTTTCATGGCAGAGCCTCGTAGGACACCCGGTACGTATGCTCGTGAGAGAAAGGGAGTGCGAGAAAGAGAGGAAGAGAGGATGCCTCTAGCAAGATCGAACGCCCGTCGAAATTTCAACATCGCCGATTTAACATCCGTTCACCCCCCGTTCCGATATTTCTGTTTTCCCCCTTTTTTGCAAAACGTACAGCGATTTGCCCCTATAAATTCACGCGCGTTTTACAAACGTCACACGGACGGGGACGTTACACGGAGACCGGGGCTCCCTTCATTCGTCGCTCATGTCGAGCCTCCTCGAAATCCCCTTCTACGTCTTCTCGGCTCCCAAAAGAAATCACGATTCGCCGGGACGAATCCGTATCTGCTGCGGAGGGTCGAGAAGCGGGGTTCTCTCTCTCTCTCTCTCTCGTGCGTTCGAGCAAAACGTTTCCGTCGGCCATTAACGAGACGCAACAATGCGGAACAAAGTAAACACGTGACCCGGCTGGAATGGTAACACACGGCATCCTCGTTTACGTTCCGCTGCGGGATGGTGGCGGCCCGTCACGGTGGTTTACCGGGAAGGGGGTGTTCGGCGAGGGTTAAGAGGGGCTCTCTCGGCTCGACTCGCCGGGGGTGAAGCACGAGACGGCGTGCAGGGCTGTATCAATACTCTATCAATATGAAATACAAACAGATGGCGTGGGCGTGAAAGGGACGAGGCGAGCCGGTGCACGCCGTGCGGTTCGGTTTTGCGCTCCCTTCGGTCACCAAGGAAACCGTGCGCGCCCTCGAAGCCCTCGCGACGCGGCAGACGTGGAAAAACGTGAAAAGTCGCCGGCCGCGCGCGCTCTCTCTCTCTCTCTCTCTCCCTCGATCGTACGCTAAACGACGTGGAAATCGGCGCTGCGCGATCGCGCCGCTACGCGATATTTCATTCACCGCGCGACCATTGTATATATTAATCCCGGCCGATCGTTAGTCGATTATTTAGCCTCCCTCGCGAGTCGCGCTATTTTTCGGGAAATGTCCGGGGCTGCGGGTACGCGTCGCATAAATTAGCATTGGGTGTGCAAATTTGGATTCGCCGGGTTTCGTTATCGAAAATCACGATTAAAATCATGATACATGTATTTTACTACCTGAAATAATAAATGTTAATTTAAAGCAATTAGATAATATTTCAATGTATACGCGGTACAAGCTTCATCGAATTCCGGCCAAGCTCGTTTCACCTTACAGTCCCCTTCGAAGTGGAATAATTTTTTATTCCGGCTGTTAATTTTGCCGTTAAACTTTGGGCGTTACTTTTACACGCGATGCAGTTGGAATTTTTTCATTATTTTGAGTAATGCGTAAATACATCCTTAAGTGGTGTTGCAACGACTGAAACCGGGCGGAAATCCGAAGGAGCAAAGTCTGGAGGGTAAGCCGGGTGGCGGTACAACTTCTTGGCCCCGTATTAAAAACGACGTCTTTTGTTCCTTTTGCCGTGTAAAGTCGAACGGAGCGGAGCACATACACACACACACACACACACACACACACATACACACGTACACTTTCTCGAAACTTCTCATACAATTTTTTAGTTAAAGTTGTACCATTCGGTGCGTCTTTGCCAAGAACTGAACAAGCAATTTTTGTGGCTTTGACGACATTTTTTGGCATCGCCGAATAAGCGTTTTGTCGATAGCCATACCCGTTCGCCATTATTTCCCGCAGATTACATTGATCGTTCCGCGACGTTACGTGGTATATTGCAAACATAGATGGCAACTCTTCGACCTACAATTGAGCGGGAAGAAAATATCCAGACTTCAAATATTAATTATACACAGAAACGGGCAAAAACACTAAAGGCATCGCATTAATTCACGCACGGAAGGCGTGGATTACTAAAAGCTCCGCGGGAAGTTTACACGCGGCCGAATCCCGTCGTTACTTTTCCCCGAGACATCTCCGGATGATTACCACCGGGTGAACCGGGTGAAATTAGCGGAAATCTGACGAGCGAAACGCGAAATGGGAATTAAGGGGATGCTCTCCACCTGCTGGATCGTAGCCGCTTACGCGATCGTAAAGTCAGTTCCAACGACGCCGGGGAGCTCGTTTTTTGTCACCGGCCGCGAGTGTCGATGGCACTCGCGGATTCATTGAATCCCGAGATTCTCGAAACGAGTGTCCGTAAATGGCGGAAACGTCCGTGCTGCGAATCGCAGGTCCGTCGCACAGGACGAGACGACTACCGGGTCGCCGCTCTCCCATCGCGATCGTTGTGAAAGACGGCCGTTTCGCTCGCAGACGTACGCCCGGTACTATTACGGTGGGCGCTTTATTGTCGTTGCGGGGATACCGCGCCGGGAACCACCTTATCCCGCGGGGAGTGTTTCTCAGCCTTCCACTTTCGTCCGTTATCTCGTGGACCTATCCGTAGAGGTTCGTTAACCGCAAAATCGCGCCGTTTCCGTGATCACGAGGTCCGTCGTTTCGCCTTATCTCCCGTTCGCTTTCGATACCGCGAAAGAGTTTCGCTCGGGGAACAACGGCGGCCGGGCGAAAGAACGTGGTGAAGGGTGGACGTGCGCGACCGGACGAGAGAACGTGCACGGAAATAGATTACTTAATCTCCCGATGATTCGATTAAGTGCCGGCCGATGGTTTAATCAGTATTGGATTGTTTTAATCGCAAATGGATTGCGAAAAGAAACGTGGACAGACGTTGGGAAGGGAAGTTTATAGGGAGAGAGAGAGAGAGAGGGAGAGAAAGATGCACACACGGAAAAAAAATAATTATGCTGTTTGTTGCCAGAATAGAAAATATTCCATATTGTGAGTGAATTTCTCCTTAGGACGAATTTCTCCTTCAATGGGAACAAAACGGTGTTCTCGTACATTTAAGAATGTTTCCACACGCTAAGAGTTGTCCTCACGGCAAAATAATTTCTAGATTCAACGAAATAATCGGCAATTAATATTCTCAACGGATCGTTTTGTCGTCCGCATAGTAACTGACGGATTTTGCCGCGTCAAGTTTTGCTTCCTCATAGTAGACGACAATAGTGGTACAGAGTAAACGCACACGGAGAATAGAACCAATAGGAAACATCGATGCTATAAGTAGGAAAAGGCAGTTATGCAATCGGATCGTATTGTTAACGAGAAAGTAGTCCAGCTAAAAAGAAGGACGAAGAGAGAGTCTTACTTCGTCTTATTTCTTTTGTCTTTCGCTACAAGCTCGAATATCGTCGAAACATATCCGCGAAAGCTGAGGCGCACAATGCCCGGCGCTGTATTCAGCACCGCTTCGATTAAGCGCGCGCGGTGTTATCTAGTTTTATCACTCCATCGGAGCGAAAACTTTTCCTCCGTCGAGGGAGCGCCGTATCTTTCTCGTGATTCTGACTCACCGGAGCGTCGCTCCGGGTTGCACGTATCTGCGCTTTCTGATCAGCCGGAGAAAACCTCTCTCTCTCTCTCTCTCTCTCTCGGATATCGCGATCTGTATTTCACCTAATCCGGTCATCTGGACCGACGAGTACAACCGCGGTGAGTCATGACACTTTGTTACACCGACTTATCCGACGATGTCATCTATCGCGCGATTCCCCACGAGCGAATATCGATCGGATATCGAATAGCGGAGTGTTCTCGCGCATAATTCCGCCTGCGTCCCGACACGTTGGTGGTGTGCTGACGGGGTCGCGTCATCGACAACCCGTTGTTGACGACGCGAATAAGAAGGAAACGCTATTTTTCACTTTAAGATGTTTCATCGGCAAAGAAGATCCCCCCCCCCCTCCGAAGATGTCACGGCGACAGTGAAAAATGAAACGGGCACATCGGAGCAAAGAGAAAAAGAAGGGGGAGAAATAAGGAAAAAAAGATAGAGATAGAAAGAGAATAAGAGCGAAAAAGCGAGGAGAAAAAGGAGAGCGAAAGAGAGAGAGGGGGAGAGAGAGAGGGGGAGAAAGAGTAAAGACGGAGTAACGCGAAAGCGGAAGCAACTCGGAGCGATAGCGCGCTCCTCGATTAGGTTCCCCGCGATTCCCGGTGCGCATCGGAGAGCGCGTCGCGCGTTTACTTCCTCCTACGTCCGTTCCGCCGTCCCCCCTCTCCTCTCCTCTATGTTTTCAATTCGTCGCCTGCAGCTAACCGGGGGAGGTTATTGGTCGTTCTCGGCGGAGGATATAGACTGAGAAACGAAGTTTCTCATCGGCCAGGGGTGGCGGCGAATCGGGGATGATTTGTGAATCATCCACTTGTTAGTCGAAAGTTCCTCGCTACTTTTTCACCCCCCTTCTTCCCCCCCCCCCTGAACTCAGTGGCCGGGGATATACGGCGATGGGGGGATCGCGGCAAACGCGGAAGGGTGTCGCGCCCCTCTCTCCTTCTATACCCCGGGGCTCTCTTTTCAGACTCTCCCTCCACCCCTCCCGATATCCTCTTTTTCCTCCTTTTCCTCCCACGCGAGTCCTTCGCCGCCTTCTCTCCTTTATCATACATTTCGCGTTATTTTCTCTCGCTTTTCTACCTCCTCGCTTACACGTTCGCCTTGCTACTCCACTTCCGCGCGCTGCGTTCCCTTTCCCTCCTCCGCTGTTTCTTCTTTCCCCTCTCTTTCGCCTCCTACGTTTCCTCCGTCATCCGTTTCTCCGCTCCTCTTCTCCCCCTCGTCTTCCGTCTCCGCTCGAGATCGGGGGTTGGGGTGGATATAGGGTCGATTCGCGCCCTCCCCTGGGCGACAATTACTTGTAATACCGTTGGTCTCTCGGGTCCGATGGGAACTCGATGGGGCGTACCTCCTCGTAAGGAAAAAAGATATTACTGTAACCCACATCGAGTCCGGCGACACTCCCCGCTGTTGGGGAAGGGCGCGACCTGTCGCCCTTGTCTCATCATAGTTGACGTGTCTGATGATCTGTCAGGGTCCGTCCGCCCTTCGATCAGACGCGTGTACGTCCTGATGCCCGCCGTTTCTGCGAACGACGCACTCGTACAATTGGAGTGCGTAAACGCCGTAATCGTAGCGCGCGTTCGACAGCAAAGT